GGGTTATCTTAAAGAATTGGTGACAGCAGACGCATCTTTTTCCCCACTGTCATCTTCCTCGCCATTAAAAATGCAAGACGATCAAACAGCGCATACGCTTTGTTCGGCTCGCCTTCCCAGTCAGATAGGTTTGTTTACCTGCTGCTCACTGGCTCGCCGCTTGTGTGGAAGTGGGCATTGCGCGGTGCATCGTGGGACTTGAAGTAACGGCACACCAATTGCTCGTTCAAACTACACCGACAAACGCTCTTTAATAGCCCTACTTGCTATTCGTAAACGGTGTGCAATACAAGTGGGGGAACGAGCGCCACCGTGTTTCGGGAAAGAAGTTGACAAAGACTTGAAACAAACGTGTCTGTTGACCTTAAACTCCTCAATCTCCCATGCAGCGTCAGTGACACTCCGGTCCGTCTGCAGCTTCCTGTTAACTGCGCGCACATTAGCAGATCTTCACCGAGCGCACACACACCAGACATGTATGCGTAGAGAGACATGGAGGTGGTCGCTACTTACAGATCAGGTTGTGTGCTTGCGGCCAGTAGCGGACACTTCATGACGCACGGAAACGCGCAGCTCCAATAAATACTTCTTTAAATGGAGGATCAAGCTTAGGCTACGTCCTGCAGCTTAGATGTAACTTACGCTTCGTATCTTTATATGGTGAGGTGACGTCAACCTATTATTTTATTGCGCCACATTAAAGGCCGTTTCAGTAATGTTAGAGCTGTTTTACAGGCAGTGTATAAGCTGTTACATTCAGGCACGTACTGCCAGCGCACACGCCCACTCTTTTCCTGCTGTGACTGTTTCTGTCCTGTCAAATGTGCTCCAACAGAATAGTTGCTCTCGTCCAAATGTCGCAACACAACATTACTAATATTGCATCATTGTGTATACATGTAGGAATTAATGTGATATAATAATTATAAATTATGCTTCACAACTTTCCTTACAGGTGAGCAGGACACCAGATCTCACAGGACATGGATAGAGGGTGGTTTATTGGACAGGAGAGGATCTCCTCTACTAAATCTGAAGAGCAGAGCTCTTGCAGCAGCGTCTCAAGGCCATGCATGACTATCAACCTGACGGAAATGCTCCGAGCTGACAGACCTAATGCAGTAAAGAAGCCGATTCCAATCCGGCCCCCAAGCCCCAGAGTCTCTCTGCCAAGGGCACAAGAGTTACACCGCAGCCTCTCCTGCGAACCCACGCCTAAACCTATCATCCGTCAACGGTCACACTCTTTGCCCTCCGCCACGGAGAAGAAGAAGCAATGCAGAGCTGTTGGTGTGCGGTTTGTTGACTCTCTGGGGGTTGATCTGGAAGACATCAGGCTTTTCAAATCTGGAGAGGATCCATTTGTACCACAACATGTTACCTTTAGATTGTTGATGGGTGCAGAGTTGGCAGATGGAAGGCATCTGGAGATATCCCTGCCATACCTGAAGCCGGTTTTTGCCCAACATCCCGGTGACCAGCCAGGATTCCTGCATCGTCTCCACAAGCAGAAAGTGTGTCTGGAGAGAGTCTTGTGTTTTGAACTGGGTGTCATCGGAATCACCCAGGTCCTCAATTTGGACTTTGAGAAAGATGTGACAGCTCGCTATTCATTTACAGAGTGGAAGAGCTGCACAGAAACTAAAGCCTCTTGGGTGTCCACCATCACCAAGACCTGGGAAGGAGGAGGGGGACAGCACAGTTATGATACGTTTCGTTTCCACCTGCCTGTTCCTCCATTCCTTCAGCCTGGAGCAGTCTTACAGTTTGCCATCCAGTACAAAGTCTGTGGTGCTGAATACTGGGACAACAATGATGGAGAGAATTATAAGTTAGTTTGCCATAACTACAAGCTCACTGTGCCCAAAGAATGCGAGGATAGCATGGTGCACTTTATTTAGTATGCTGAGTACAGGTAGAAGAATCTATTTAGAGCACCTTGTCAGCAAGACCTATTGAAAATGCATAACTGCATTGTAACATGTAATGTTCATTTTGTTAGACAAGTGCTAACACATGATTCCTTTCTGTTCAAGATTAATTGTGAACTCTGGACAGACTTC